CCCCCGAGGCGTAGGCTGGCACCGCCAGTTTGCGCTTGCGGCTGCCCACGGTCCTGCGGCTGCCGGGGAGGGCACAGGGCACGAGTGAGGGCAGCACCCAAAAGGTGCCCCCGGTTTGTGCTGGCACGCCGGGAATTTGGGGGAGCCCAGCGAGGACCGACGGCTCCGATCCTGTGCACCAGTAAGGGTCACCCGGGGGGCCCCAGCCCGTTTTGGGACACGGGGAGGAAAAGCTCCTCAAGGTGGGACATGAAGAGGGAAGATACGGGCCCTCGCCCCCCTGGCCGTGCCACCGGGACCCCTCCAGAAGGGAACAAGGGGCACAGTCCTCACCTGGACTCGTAGGAGAGGCTCGTGGAGGCCGAGCCCGAGGTGCTGGTGGCATCTGTGGAGTCCACGTCCGATAGGAAGGTCTGTCCCGAGCTGGCACTGTGGATGGGACAGGCTGGGGTGAAGCATCGCCCCCAGCCTGGCACGAGCATCAGCCCAGGCCCCCCAACCCCCGGTCCAGCTGCACGGACCTTTTCAGGCTCTGGATCTCATCCAGCGTGAAGTCGAAGATGCTGGCCAGGTGGTGGTTGGTGCTCCAGGCCGAGGTGAAGTCGCTCTGTCACAAAAACAAGCTCACTCCTCACTGCCTGGCACAGGGGAGCTGCCCACACCCCAGCCCTGGCACCCTCTGCCCGGGGCCACCGCGCTCCTTCCCGCGGCCCCGCTGGTCCGGAGCGGGGCCGGGCGCGCCCCACTCCCCAAAGCCAGGGACAGGAGCCCTCCCTGCCCACCGGCAGTGGGGAAAACCTGCGGGCAGCCCCGGGGCCGGGCAGTCCCCCGTGGCTGCCAGCTCCCAGGCTGGCTGCGGAGAGGAGGGGGCGAAGGACTCACGCTGGGAATGGCATCCTCCAGCAGGAACTTGGCCCTCTTGCGCCGCGCTCGCCGCTTCTGCTGCTGGAGCTGCCGCGGCAGGAGGCTGCAAACAGGGGGTGAGCGGGGCGCGGGCAGGGGGGGCTGCTGCTGCCGGAATGTGGGGGCACCGGGGCCACTCACCTGTCCTTATGGGCGTATTTGCTTTTCCCCCTCTTCTTCAGCTCGCAGGGGCTGCTCTCGCCCTCGCCGGGGGCTTTCTCCGGCAGCACTTTGCTGGGGGGGTTCGGGGGGACGCGGATCCGCAGGCGGAAGATGCATTTCTTCTTCTTTATCTCCTTCCCACACAGAAACCTGGGGGGCAGAGGGGAGGGAACAGCCTCAGCCGGGCTGGCGCATCCTGCATCCCACCCTGTGGCCAGCCCTGGCCCGGGACTCACCTGCTTTTGTAGCTGTTGAGGGCGTTGAGGAGGTGCGGGCCGCGCTCCGAGATGGGGGTGCCCGTGAGCTGCGGGACAGGGGGCACGCAGGGCTCAGTGCCCGCTGTGGTTATGCAAAATCCAAACAGACGGGGGAACCCGAACTCCGGCTTTCGGCTCCTGCCCGAGGTCGGGGAGGGAGGGAGGGAGCCAAGGCCTGGCCAGAGCCACCCGGGTCTGGCACTGCCACCCTCGGGGAGCCGCCCCGTCCTGCCCCCGGGACAGGTTTCCAACACGCCTCGGTTGTCCCAGCCCTAGCTCCCAGTGGGAAAGGCGCCGGGTCTGACACTCCACCAAGGAAAATCCCAGTGCAGAGGAAGGGGATTAAGCTCCTGTGGAGCAGGAGCTGCCATGCTGAGCGCTGCACAAGCTGGGGTTGCATTTCTCACTCCCATGGCTGCTCTCCAGCCCAAACCTGGGGTGTGTTTGTACCTTCCCGAGCTGCAGAGGGTCCCAGTGGTGATTCACAAAGGCCAAGATCTCCTCAAAGTCAAAGTACTTCTTCTTGCTCTGCACACCCAGGTTGTAGAGGGCGAGATGGACGATGTCCACCCTGCAGCAAAGAGGGGCACAGGGTCAGCAGCCCTGGCAGGATGGTGCCACCACTATGCCCTGCTCTGCCAGTGCCACAACAGCTCCCAGGTCCTCCTAAACCCACCACTGGAACCTTCCCACACCTCACAGGGGAAGCAGCCCAGCCCAGGGGTGTATCCCAGCAGATGTCACAGCCAGGACAGCATCTCCTGAGCTCTGGGGAGAGGTGGGACACTACCCAAACACACAACCCTAGAATGATTTCTGTTGAAAGGGGGCTTAAAAATCATCCAGTCCCGCCCCCTGCCATGGGCAGGGACACTCCACTGGACCAGGTTGCTCCAAGCCCTGTCCAGCCTGGTCCTGAACACTCCCAGGGATCAGCCAGCCCGGTGTCCCAGAGCCACCTGGGCACATTCCAAAGGAGGCAGAGCCCATTTCTTACCATCTCAAGGGCAGGCGCTTGATGTATTCTGGTCCCTGGTTGCATACAGAGCAGAAAAACACATAGAACCTGGAAAACATCCCGGAAAATGCTGGGAGTGAGGATCATCCTACAGCCATGCAGGGCCCAGGCACGGGCCAACAGTGACAGCAAGGTCAGGAGGAGTGGGACAGGATCCATGTCAGTGTCAGATGGATCAGGACACACAGCTGGGATGTGCCCAGGGTGCCCCTGGGGAGCCATCTCAGCACACCCAGAAGGGTCGTACCGGTCTCCGAACATCATGGGGTCACTGAGGCACTGGGTGCAGGCTTCGTGGAACCACTGCCGGCAGCGGTAGCACTGCAGCATCTTCAGGTACCACCTGGGCAGCACAGGAGAACAGTGGCAGTGACAGCAGCGTGTGGCAGCCACTGCCCCAATCCCCTCCCAGGCACGGGGCCCGATGGAGAAACTCCATCCCTGACTGGTATTTCTGGAGCAAGCAGAGACCCAGATGGCAGAGGCAGTGTGGGGAGCAAAGCCACAGTGCCCTGCAAGCCTGGGATCAAACCTGCCCACCCTGATCCCATCCTGGGGCACACAGGCAGGGCCTTACTCTCCGGGGCCCCCGCAGTAGCAGTAGCACTGCTGCTGGTTGGTGCGGTGTGGGGAGTCCCACTCCAGCAGCTCGGGGTTGTAGGACAGCACCATCTTCACGGCTTGCAGCGTCCTGGCAATGGCTCCTTTCTTCAGGGCACCCCCTTTCTGCGGGAGAGACGGGGCCGGGGTCAGCACAGGCACCCGGGGAGCGCGTCCTGCCCCTCCGGAGCCGGGAACACGGGGCAGCTCCGCTCACCCGCACGGCCAGGGCGAAAATGCAGCGGCGGCAGAACCACGGCGTCCCCAGCGGGCCCTCGCCGCCGCTCGCCACCGGGATGTGGCACTGCTGGTGATAACCTGCGGGAGGGGTCGGCATCAGCAGAGCCCGGGGGGGACACGGCAGAGCCCGGGGGGAGGGGGGACACCCGCACTCACCCAGCCCGCACTTGCCGCAGATGAGGATTTCGTTCCTGGGGCCCGACTTCTTGCCCAGGCAGATGCTGCACTTGGGCTCCTCCCCCGGGACACCGGCTGGGGGAAGAGGGTGACAGAGGTGGCACAGCCGCGTCCCCACAGCACAGCGGGGAGGGGAGGCTGGATCACTCACCATGCTGGATGTCCTTCCAGAGGACCCAGTACTTGGAGTTATCCTCAAACGTGACGAGGCAGCTCTGTTTGGAGCCGCTCACCTGCCAGAAGAGAGCAAGAAGAACGGCTGTGGGTCAGCTCCCGTTCCCAGCACTTCCCTGTTTTCCCTGGCTCCTGATCCCGTCTCTCGGGGCTGCGGGCACTCAGGTTTGGGGCGCGACACCCGGGGCAGGATGTCAACCCAAAATTCCCCGCTGACCAAAGACGCGTTTCAGCCCAGGCCAGCACCCCCCGAGCCACGAGCCGAGCCAGGGAACGGCACCGGCACCACTTTGGGGTTCTCCCGTTGCCCTGGGGGTGCCCTCGTTACCCTCTTGATCTTGCCGAGGTAGTAGAGCCCGTCTGTCCAGCGGCACAGCACGTACTGCCCCTCGGTCAGCCTGACCATCAGCTCCCGGCAGCCGCTGCCCCTGCCCTGCGGGACACGGCCGGGGGCCGCGTACACGTCCCGGATCAGGGGGTTCAGCTCGGTGCTCTCCATCAGCGGAGCCTGCAGGGGACACACACGCTGTCACCTGCCCTCTCGGCACGGCACATCAGCCGGGCGCAGCATCCCGCAGCGCTTTGCCTGGGAACCCCGAGGCTGGAGGCGGTTCATCCCCACCAGCAGGGGCTCAGGACACTGCAGAGCAGAGCCCAAACAGTTCTTTTCCACGAAATCCAGGGAGCAGCCAAAATCTTTGCTATCGGTGAGCAAGAGGGAATTAACCCCCGACAGGCTCCCACAGCACTGGGACACGCCACAGCTCCGCGTGGGTCAGTTTTGAGAAGGGGCACATGAGGAATAAAAGCTTCAAATTTACCGTGATTTTAAAATCGCGATTTCCGCGCAGTTTTGTGGGCTCCCAAACCACCGGCACTGCTGTAGGAGCAGGGATGTGCCAGCACCACCCACAGCGAGCGAACCCAGGCGGCCAAATGTCACCGTCACGAGGTTTGGGGTACAGGAGGCAAAGAAACCATCCCCAGCAGAGCTGCGATCCCGAAGGACAGCACGGAAACGACTTGAAATGAACTTTTCTCCCCTTGGTCACGGCCACACGTGTGGCCTCATGGCACCACGCGTGTTCTGGCGCAGCGGATCGCCCCCTCTGCCCGGCCCCTGCCATCCACGAG